TTAGATCTCCCCACACGACACTTCATTACTCGCTCAAAAACCTATTCTAGCGGTACCTTCTCATGAACATCCATAACCTATTTAGAAATAGGAATATCCTCTACATGCTGTGATAATGATTCACTGACACTAGGGTAGAGTGCATTAGGCTGTACCTTTGGGTTATGAACGTCGGACATGTCAACTTATTCCTCTATTGGGGGAATCTCTTGTGTTTGAACCTTGACCACCGACAAACTTTGCCAATGTAAGAACTGAAAAGACCTAGTACCTGTAAGGTTTTAACGCAAATTCTGATCAACGAGAAGAACATTCCTGCCCAAAAACACTTTCTTCTTCTGCTGGAGAGGCTTTGTGCAAGGAGCTACATTTGTGGTGCCCCTTTCTGATCGACTAACATTGCCTTCCTGTAGATTCTTGCTTTCAATAGGAACCTCCTTTCCAAAATCAACTCCTTTGACACAATTAAGCGAAGAAACTGGTTAGGAACTAGAAGATGGATCAAGAGTAACCATACTATTCAAATCACTATTTTGCACCCATGGCCTTGCCTGATAGTACTGTAGTAAGGCAATATGAGGGACTAGATCTTCATCCATAATATCTAAATTCTTGTTCATAAGAGTTTGCGCAATAGTTTCCCAATCCAAAAGGAAATCATCACAAAAGGTATCTTTAATTACATCAATTTCAAGAGGGTCCAAACCAGAAAACATGTTGTGGGGAGATAAACATTTCAAATTGTCTCTCTTCAAGTCCTTGTCCAGAGCAATACCTTTACCTTTTTCTTCCCTTGAGAATCGCCTAATAACCGATTTAGAGTTGAGAAGAAACCCTTTTTTCATGATAATAACACTCCAAAAACACCAAGGAATAAAAAGGAAAAGAGTAAAAGCACAAGAAACCTTTTTTTGTTTCCTAAACAGCAACGACTAGACCATAATCAAACGAGATTAAAAAAAAAAAAAAAAACATAGGAAAACAAGACCCCTAGCGACTAAAAAAAAGAAGCAAAATGTACGGGAAAGAAATAAACCTTCTCGTATAATCTTGTTGATCAAGTTTGCGCTCCTCCGTACGTCGTTGCTTTACTCCCTGAAAACACAAACGTGAGCTAACTGACAGGTGTGCGCGGGATACCTCTCTGATACCTAAGTCAGCAAAATAGACAAATAGACAAAAGCTCTGTGTATTCGAGAATCAAAGTTGAGTTACCTCTCCATAGGTGATGTGATGAGCTTTTATAGGTTTTGCATGGCACAATCCTAGTAGGACTTTTACGCATCCATGTAAAGTCCTCCTAGGAGTCATACTCCAGAAAGACAATGCTTATCCTTCAACACCCCCCTCACTGCTTAAACCAAGTGAGATGGTTTTACCATGGTCGGATTCCAATATGACCGAGGTAAGCATGGCTATGCTAAGCCGCAGATTAGACCGAACTATAGCTAGTTTGGTTTTTCCTTTCACTGCTCTTACCTCGGTTTCTTATGTACAAACCATGATGTGATCAGACCGAGCTAACAAACAACAAGGTTCTGACCGAGATAACCACGATAAGCCATAACCGGGCTAACTTTGAGTACGGTGACTGGGCTATATGCAAAGCTTCTTTAGACCGGACTAACTTCACGGTTCTTTCGGACCGGGATAACAATAAGGTTTACCAGGATCGGGCTAACTACAAACCCCCTTTCATCCAGCCTTCTTACTGTGGCCCAAAGAATGGCTCATTTACCCAGCTCGGCCCATTTACCCATCTCGGCCCAATTTAGGTATAAATTACCCTCTCACAAAACAAGCAGGATCACAAAAAAACATAATAAAAGGAACCCTAGAATCTTGAACACCCAATCCTCCCTAAGATCGCAAATCCACAAAGGATATAAGAAAAGGGTGTTGTTGGGATATAGATTAGGAAAGGATTGGATAAATAAGTCAGATATAAGGGAGGGGGAGACTGAATCACCACCGAACAAAACCACCAGAGGCAGCTCAAAGCACAATCCGTTAAAACAATCTTACCTCAAGAACACCCTCTCCCCTTAAGAGAGACATGAATTGATGAAAGTGAGTTCAACAAAGTTTGATGTGTCTCGGAAAGATAGCTGGAAATCGCCCTTCTGGGTAGCCGTAAATCACCCTTATAAGCTTCAATATTTTTCGCTTTCACTTATTGAATGTTTAGGGTTTAGGGTTTTCAATTTAAATTTTTTTGACTAAACATTAAAGTGGCAACAAATGTAAAGTCATCAAAATAACAATATTACACGTTTGCAACAAGTTTTTTAGTTGATCAAAAATTAAAGGACATTATTAATTCACTACATGTGTTTGCGTGAATGGATAAATGTCAACATGAAGAATGATGTGTAATTAAATTTGTAAAATTGTTCAATTAATAATAAACTTGTTTAGTGACACATACGTTCAATGTCTAATTAGTTTTGTTTAAATATATATGTCCTACATAGTTGATCATTAACAAAAACATGGAATTAATGCGTTGAATTGCTAAGACTGATTGTGCATAATTTAAATTTACTTATTTTTAATATTTTTTACTAAATATAAAAGTGGCAATAATAGTAAAGTCATCAAAATACTAATATTACACATGCACAATAAGTGCATGTTTGGCATCCCCTAAAAAAGTCAAAAAATTAAAAAATTACTGAAAAAGCAAAAAAAGCTAACACTATTCATATGTTTGGGCGGGGAAAAAAAGTTTGAATAGACAGAGGGTAAAAGACAGAAATGCCCTTTTTTTGTTTCCTTCAAACAGTGCACTTTTTGGTGAAAAAAAAAAAACAGTGCAGCATAGTGCATTGCACGGAACCTGCACTCACATTCACTGATAGTGCAGCACAGTGGTCAGAAGGGTAGCAAGGTCATTTTGCTTGTTGATACAATATTTTAATACACATTTTTTCGTAAAAAGTCAAAGAGTTATCCCAAGCATACATATTTTTTTTCTTTATTTTATTAGTAAAAAAGTCAAAAAATGCACTTATATAGTTCATCACAAACAATCCCAAAGTTTTTTAACCGATCAAAAAGTAATGGGCAATTTTATTGAATTTTGTCATCAAAACCACATCTTTTTTTTTTTTTTGGGGGGGGGGGGGGTAAATTAAATTATCCACACTCCTCAGACAAGGGCAATCACTTTACCACCTATGGAATTGTGTAAACCCATAGCCATAACAAGCCAATTGTAGTGAGCCCGAGCACCCACAAAACTATTGTTTGCCTAAGAATGATAGCCTGAACATCCTCTCATAATAAGCTTCATATTTTTGGATAATAATGGTATCATAAGGTCAAAATCCAGTTACATTAAAACCCTGATATGCTTTTAAGCTCAACCCCCCAAGTCCACTTAAGCTCAAATCTAGCATAGCATTAAAACACATAATAGATATTGTATATATAGATCTTATATTAATAAAGGGGTTTACTTCAAATGGATTGATTAGGTATAAGAAACATTATTAAAGAAACACTTATTTTCCCATTTCGTATATATAAATATATATATTTAATTAAAAAAAAAAAAACACGACAAGAAACTGTAGAAGACATGACCAAACTAGAAAACATACCTCTTATCAAATTTTTTACCATCTGGGTCAACTCGCTCAACTCTAAAGATATCCTATGCAATCAACATAAGTTATGGAAAACAGATTTTTGGAATAAGCCATGTAAATAACAATGAATTGAGTAAGAGATTGAAAGCTCAAATGAAAATAAAAGGATTTAAATAACGAACGAATAAGGAGAACTTCTTAATACCTTTAAGAGTCACAATAGTAGTGAGATTGAAGAAAAGGAGCCACAAAAAATCCCTGTAAAACTAAACTAAATCATCCAATTATGGCTAACTTATCATCAAAGAAGTCCACAGCAGCTTTAGGAGATGCAAATGGACAATCAGGGAGGTTGTGTTCCAAGCTACATTCAAATACAACATTTTCAAAACAATAAATGCAAACTTAAAAAGAGATTATTTCAAACCCCAAAGTAGAATGAACCCAAAAAAGCCAGGGGGTTGCAAAAAACTAATAATTAAGGAAAATCTAATTAAAA